CAAGGAAATAGTTCTGTGGAGTGACGGTTGTGGATATCAGAACCGGAATGCATGTGTGGCAAATGCATTGTCGGAGCTGGCAAGGAAGTATCAGGTAGAAATAACACAGAAGTACCTGGTCGCAGGGCACACGCAGATGGAGTGTGACAGCATGCACAGCACAATAGAAAGAAAGATGGTCACTGATGTCTTCTCCCCGAGAGTGTCATCACTTCTATGACAGTTTACCTCATGGATAAGAGTGAAGAAAAGGAAGTGGAGAGGACAGGAGGGTGAAAAAGAGGAAAGGATGAGGAAAGAAGAGAGAGGAGAGGGGGATGAAGAGGAGAGGAAAATGAAGAGGAGGAGGAGAGAAAAGAGGAGGATGTAGGAGAGGAGAGGAGAGAAGAGAGGAAAGGTGAGGAGAGGAGAGGCGAGGAGATGAGGACAGAAGAGGAGAGGAGATGAGAGGAGGAGAGTGGAGAGGGGGATGAAGTGGAGAGGAGAGGAAAATGAAGAGGAGGAGAAGAGAAAAGAGGAGGATGTAGGAGAGGAGAGGCGAGGAGATGAGAGGACAGGAGAGGAGGAGAGTGGAGAGGAGAGAAGAGGAGGAAGAAGAAAGGGAAAATGTTCTTTGTTTCTTGACTTTGTTTCTCCAAACACCAACCCCAACTGACTTTGTTTCTGCTAACAAATTCCTAATTAAAGTTTTGTTCCTTGCATGTTGTTGTCAAGCCTCATTCATTTTTCTTATGACCTTTGCCATCATTAGATATCATTTTAGTTTTGGAATGCCTATTTTAGTAGACAGTAAACAGTAACAGTTAACAGTAATAAACAGTAACACACTAAGTCACACATCATTTAGGCCTGTACAAAGGAAAGCGTTAATTTTGCCTATGTCATCAAAGGTGTGGTCCAAAAAATGCCTAAGTCATTTATTTAATCTTAGTCATTATGAAAAGAAAAAAGTGTTCTTATTATGTCAAACATCATCCTTTGATACATACTTACAGACTTAAATTATTATTTTATGTGATCATTTAAATTTCTGGGGGAATATTTTGTGTTTCCTGGAAAACCTGAAAAAAATGACTTATGCGATTATTTTAAGAAGGTATTATTTCATTCATGATCTTTGGTACTAATATTGCAAACTAGTTTTTTTATATGTAGGATGCTTTTTGATATCATTCAACATCATTCTCCTGGGATTCATTTGAAATATTTTAATAGTTATTTTAACAATTACACCAGCTCTGCTAGATGGCTCCTTGCAGTCCAACCAACCATCCAGATCGCCAACAAGATCTCCGAAGCTCCAGGGGGAAACCGACCCGAACAAGCTCACGCCAGCTCGCCTGACGGGGCGCCACTTCCTGGGTAGAAGGGAGGCGGATTCCATCTGCATGGTGTGTTCCCAGCGAAGGAAGAGAAAGCTGGATGAAGAGGAGGCGGGTCGGAAGAAGCAGAAGATGGAGGGTGACGGCGGTGATGAGCCAGAGGAGGAGCGTCACAATTCTGATGGCGAGAAGTCTGAAATAGACTGTGGCAGAATGGAGAGACAGACACAGTTTTACTGTAAGACATGTAGTGAAGAGCCCAGCCTTTGCCCTGTGCCTTGTTTTGAACTATACCACACAGAACCTAACTACGAAGCGCCAGGTGAGCCTACTGAGTAACCAAAAGACTGTAACTTACACCAATAAACCTGTTTTAAAGCTTATTGATGCCGTTTTCATGTGCTGTCTTCAGTAGTGGGAATACATACTGACTTCTTTCAGGGGTTGAGTTTGTTTCTCTGCAGCTTCCTGATCTGCTGCTTTCAGAAGCCTTCCTCCTGCGCTGAAAACTGCATCTTTAAATATTCCAGTTTGGTTTCACACTACTCAGTCTGTACTGATCCCAAACCACAGTGTAGGCCTGTTTTTTTTTTCCTTCATCTTCAATATATTTTATTTATAAATACAGGGATCCTACAGTTTTGGAAAATGAGGAATGTATTTTTTAATTTTTTGCAAAATTCTGCAGTTTGCTGTATTTTTTCCTCATGACCCCTCATTGAAAATATGACCAACAAATTTACTAAAAAAAAAAAAGATAATTTGATAAACCGGTCATACATAACGGGAATTTTGAAGCCAGTTAGAAAAATAACCTAATAGAAACATTTTGATGGGATTTTCCTCAGCATTGTGGGCTGACTGAAAGTAGACATTCTTTAATATAACACAAATATAGCATAAATGATGGGTTATCTTTTCATTCCTTGTGTCGTTACACTTGGTAGTATATAAATGATGTATTATATAGTATGTAAAATTGCAATAAAAAGCTTACAATATAGATGTGAGCCAATTTAACAATTCTCTCAATTTTTTTTAAGCCATTAAATTTGAATGCATCACTGGAACTATTTGCAACAGAGATCCAAACCATATTATTTCAAGGAATTTATAAAATGTACTTTTTGGAGATATTCACAATTAAGATGCTGTTGGTGTAAAATCAGCTGGAGATCTTCCAGCATTTGTGTCCTGGAGAGGCTGCAAATATTGCTGCTTTGAAACTCTTTGGATTCCTGAGGAAAAGCCTTCCTGAATAGGAGAACTTTCCAGAGTGTAGGACAACAAAAGGATATAAGGAATCCAGCCCTAATCAAATGCATCACTGTTAAAGATGTGAAAGAAGGATTTTAAAGCTTTAGAATCCTGTTTTTATAGGGCTTAAAATGCTACAATATTTGCAGCAACAGATCTTAAGAATTGAACCATCATCACTATAAAGAAGTGTTGGATCTTGCCACCTTAATATTAAATTGTCAAACCATTTGCAATGCAAGGCTTAGTGAGATCTCATTTGTGATAAAGGTTTGCAGTAAAGTTTGATTAGCATAGCAGAATATACCAGTATTAAAACACTGACCAAATTTAACAATTAGGTTTTGGGAGGAAATCATCTTGGGAAATTATTAGATCTAATAAAGATTTTTCAGTGTAACAAAATTATGTTAATCCATTTTGACTGCTGATCTCACAAAACGTCATACTCTTTCACCAGAATGAGCTCATCGTATTCTGATATAAAGGATCAGAACAATAGAATTTTATCCTTAGCAATTATCACCACAAAACCTTTGAAGATAATGAGAAAAATAAATTAGTTGTATGCTCAAGAAATAATATACGCAAGAGAACAGATTGGTTTCTAGACAGTCAAATAATTTCTATTCCCATTTGTTTTATAGTATACACATAAATATTCATACTTTGGCAGTAAATCATTGCTCTATAAAGTGGGTTTTTGCACAGATGTAGAGCTTTATTGTTTTGTTCCTCACTTCTACTGAACCCCTAACTGTGTGAAAGCTGTAGAAGCTCCCATCATTTGTATTTATTAGGACACTTTTCTCTGTAAATTCTTAAATTCTGAAATGAAAAGCATATGTAGGAACCCTGTTATTAAGTTTGCAGTATTTGGTCTCCACTCTGCTTGGGACAGGATCTCCATGGTTCGCTGTATTGTAAGCATAGTTTTTATTAACATTTAACGGTTGAGGGCGAAATACTTGAAGGGCTTCCCAGATTCTCAGAGCCTACTGTAAGATATAATAAATTGAATACCTCATGAAAATGTCTGAACACATCAACACTTCAAATGTCTGTTATGGTGCATTGTCAGCTCTTACTTATTTTATGTCATGCACACATTTAAAAATGATTACATGTGTCCTTTAAAAGGGGCAACATTATTTTAATTCAGGTTTTTGTGAGCTTTTTTTTTTTTTCATCCAGTTGTTTGCCCTGTGCCATGTTTATTTTCTGAGAACTATTTAAGTGTTAAATTGGTTCCCTGTCATGCTTAACACTAATGTATGGTGAGCTTTGCTGAATTTTACAGAAAATGAATCATGGGTTTGTGTGTGGAATTGTTTTTTTCATCCATAATCCATGTCTTGAGTTACGAATGAATCCTAACTGGGAGATTGTGTAATCTGAGCTGGAACCGAAAAGTTTGAAGTTGTGCATCAAACACAGACTGTCACCTGTAATTTAAAGTCAACTGTTCTTGCTAAAGTTGATGTGTTTCTGTTGTTACATTATGACCATTTAAGTTACAGGGAAGTCTTTGCAGCACCTTCCCACTAATGCATCAGAATTCACTCCAGCTTTGTATTCAAATGGTAAAGTTTACTTTTGACATCAAATCTGTTAGCTGGGGACTTGTTCCTAAGTGAATAATAATAAAAAAAAAAAATTTTTAAATAGTCTCAATAAATTGTTTTTGAAAAAAAAAAGTGTCCATTTTTAGTTTTAACTATAATTTTACTATGGAAATGATTTAACATTAATTTTAAGTAACGGGTGAATAAAAGGAAGTCTGGCATCCCAAAGCGGATAAGTATAAAGAGCGACATCAGCTGGCTAAATAAAATTATTGCATTTTAGTTGATTTAAATTGATTTCAATTAAAGTGCAACACATTTAAAGCAAGAAATTATGTAAAAACAAAACAAAAAAACTTAAATTCTAAGTTTAATTAAGGCTTGTTAGTCAAAATAAAACTGACATTTTAATATGTTTAATTGAATTGCTTTTAAATTAAGGTTGAAATATTTTTTTTATATTTTTACACTAACATTTTGTTATTTTTTAATGGTGATCATTTTAAAGCTACAGTGTGTAATAATTACAGGGATATACAGTCAGAAATGTAATATATTATACATAACTATGTTATTTATCATCATCTACGAGCTCAGCCTCTTAACCTTAATATTTGCGTTGCCTTAGAATTCGTTATTTATAATTACATAGGAGCGGGTCTCGCAGCCATGGAGGCAGACATCTTTGCGCTACGGCAGCGCAGAGCCAACAAACTAGCGATTGCGAGATCGCCAAAACGTCACAACGATGTAGAAAAAATAATGGGTATATTTATGATCTTAAGTCTACATGAAATCTATACCCTACACAGACTAATGAAATACTATCTGTAAAATTATCTATGTAAACAAACCTCATCACTTGAGAAGGTAGGTGATGCGGACGTCGTGGAAGACATTTTGTCCCGTAACGCTCGCCGTACTGTTGGGGGGGAGAAGCGGTGGGGGGGAGATGTTCATGTTGCTGCAGTCTGACCGCTAGATGTCGCTAAAAGTTACACACTGTAGCTTTAAGTTGCTTGTAGTTATTGATTACATGTAAGATCAATGCATGCAGTTTTATAAATATCAACTAATAATCCTCTTTTTCCCTTTACCCTTATTTTAACTACCAGGTGTAAGAAAAGCATTAAGGTGTTAATGGTTCCAGTGCCTATGAACATGTACTTCCAGTACATGTTACATTAATGATACCCATGCTGGTATGTGACTTTCACTTTGATGAAATAGAGTACCAGGTGTTATGATGGAGACTCTGGAGCTGGAATTTTCCTCTTCTTCCAGATTCCGGTGCTGATTGCAACTGCTATGCAAGGTTGTTAAACAAGCCGCTGCACAGATAGAAAAGCGGGAAAACAAGAAAATGAATCTGCTTTCAGTATAGATATAAGTAAAGTATAGAAATTTTAGGGTTTAGGATTTTTATCCAGATCACTTTATAAGTACATCCAATAAAGAAGTGTGTCTTGTAGGTGGACCATGACTGGAAATCAGAAGAATAAACATCACTGCTAAAAGCATGTCTGTTATTAAAACCTTTAGAAAAGAAATTAAAATAATCTATTGATGTAAGCTAAATGATCATAAAGGTTATTTATGATCATAGAATATAAACTTGTAGCTCACATTAATAGATTAGACGAAATTCAATATCTGCATTTAACCCATCCCCTTTGGTAGCAGTGGGCTGCCATTTGCGGCGCCTGGGGAGCGATGTGGGGTTAAGGGTCTCTTTTGCTTATGGACCCAGAAAAAAACTGTGAATGGGTTTTGAACTCACAACCTCAGTGTTGAAGCTCTATGCCATTTTACTAGGCCACTACCAAGACTGAAGTTTTCAATCATACAAAGCAAACATGATTTGGTCACACAGCAGCACAGACTACTCTGCTTTAGGCAGATAGGACAAAAGGACAGAACAAGCGGATCATGAGTGTGACAACCAACGTGAGACCGCTGAATCTTTCATCAAACTACCTACTGCACCAAAGATCGGCCTCCCTCTTCACCTATGCTTAATCTGAACGCTGACCTCCGACCTGGTGAGTTATCAAATCATGCATGATTATGAACATAACCCTATTTCAAAACAATTGATTCAGGTATAAAAAAATTTTTTTGTTTTTGCTCACAGAATCAACAGGTCAGGATTCGTCTGTTCCTCATCAAGCTGTGAAAAGATCCAGAGTGGGTTCCAAATGGAGAAAACGGGTGCGGTACTGCACTTTTAGATGCATCAGCAGTTTAAACTTCTGAATATCTTGTCTTACCCAAATATGTTTATGTTTCCTTAACAATCCACTTTGCTGGGAACTTAAAGTGCTGTACCCAACTGATTCACTATTTTAGGTTTTGGTTTTTTTTGGCACCAGGTGAATAGACTTTGTACTTACTGCAGAGCAAATCTGAATATCTCTGTGAGGACCTAGTTTGCCTGCATTTGAATTAGGCTTTTTGCATGAAGTTAGGGTAGATACACCAAATGATTGTGTGTGTGTGTCAAAGGGCATAACCGCTGTAATTTACAAAGAGCAGAGCCGTTTTGCAACATTCACTTTCATACATTTTTTTTAATTTAAATATAGGAGGTTTTAGTTTGTCATAATTTACTTCAACTAAAATCGTCAAATATATAGAAGGAAAAAAAAAAGTTTTTATTCTTCCAACTCTTTGGTAACACCACAATAAACTTTGATAACCTCAGAAGAACACATATTTGCAGAGTTGGTGACAACTTTACTCCATATACTTCTGAGACATCAGACACTTTTTGAAACAATGAACTTATGTTTATGGTTGGTTTCTGATCTGAGGAAAACGAAGATGGGGAAAAAACTTATTTTCAAACTTCAGAATGATACTAACTTTCTTTTCTTTTCTTCTCTTCTCTTACATTTAAGGGGACAGAGTCATGTGGTGTGGCACCGCATAGAGTTCACAATCGGTCCATCCTGGGAATTGGTTCTGCTAATCAAAGTGTGCCAGTTATTCCCCCTCCTCCAGAATCAACCATCTGTATGGGGCCAAAGCCTGGAGGAGCTGGGTCTAACAAAGCAACATGGATCCAACCAATCACAGCCATTAGTGTAGTTTCGAAGGAGGAGATCGTACAACTCTGCTGAGATTTGCTCTGCTCTGCCTTACTTCATCAGAGAAGTCTGAAGGCCTAATATAGAGCCCTACAGCCTTGAAAGTGTATTTGGCCTCTGTCTGGAGATATAATAGGTATGCAAACTTTGCAGTGGTTTGCAGTTTGATCTGATCTGGTCCATCTTTTCTGTCCACAGTATCTGTTCATGAAGGGGCAGGTAGAAAACATTTTTCCCAGATGAGCTCTACTTTAACCTCTCACGCGAGATCAACTCTGGAGCCCTTAGCTGCAAACAAGCAGCACTGGCATCACTGAAGATGAACTCAAACCAAACTTCAATTGATCCCAGCATTTCTATTTCTTCCTTCAGGAAGTGTTCTCTCCTGTGTCCAGAAGTTTTGCATGTGGAAATGCAAGCAGCTGGGTGCCTATTTGCCCATAGTGTTGCTTAACACGCTACTTTTCTTCGGCACAAAGAACCTACACCTCACCACCCTTGCAGATCACCAATGCCTGTCTTTCTCCAACTTCTGCTGACACTTCAAACCGCACAGGGCAGTCAGAAATGTCTGTTACATCCAGTATAAAAGAAGAAGCATGGCGACATCTGGCTCTGATCAGAAAGGTGACCTCGCTCATTCTGATGCTTAGAAGTCAAATGTGCCCATTTAAGAACCTAATTTAAAATGTAATGCATCTGCAGGATGAGACAAGTAAACAAATTACTCTCATTAGCATAGTTTTTATTTTCCTGCTCGCCTCCATCCTGTTAACCTGACAACAGCCAGATGCATGTCTCACTCCGCCTAGCTCCGCTCACATACTTGTGAGTATGTGAGTGGAGCTGGGCGGAGCGAGACATGCATCTGGCTGTTGTCAGGTTACCATCCTGTTGCTCTAGATGTAAATTTAGACTGACTGTGATGAAGGGAGGTTCTGCTGAGCTACTTGACACTCAGTGATTTCCAAGTACATTCACAAACCTTAAAAGTTCTTTTAAAACAAAACCAATACAAAGTGTGGTGTCCCTCATTTTTATCCTGCTTTTGCACATTTAGAGTCTTTGTTTTCAATTCTTGTCACTAATGATCAGTTGAATTTAGGTCTGGACTTTGACTATAACATTCTAACATATGATTAATCTTTGATTTCAATTATTAAGTTGTAGCATTATCTGTATGTTCAAGGTTTTTGTCCCTCTGGCAGGGAAAGCTCTACCCCCTCTGCTTCAGGATTGCTTTTTGATATTTTTCAGTGCTTTACTCTAGATTTCTCACACTGTGTGGTTGTCCTGTCACCTACGGAAGACAATTAAGACCATTAAAAAAAGTAAAGAAAAAAGTCACCCCAAAAAAAGACTAATAAATTCTAACTTTCTCAGAATAAAGTTCTCTCCCTTAAAAAAAAAGTAGAAATTTACAAAAGGTCACAAAATAAATAATAAAATCAGAATTCTGAGATTAAAGTAATAAAATATATGGCCTTTTTTTCATTGAGGAGGTGTTTTGGGCCTTAATCCGCTCCTGTAGTCACCAGATTCTTCCTGCTGAGCTTTCTGTCTCTATATGTCCTCCTGAGTTCCTTTTGGATCTTGTTTGGTTCTATAATTGGATGCTTAGGACCATTTAGGTGGCAGCCCTTGTCTTTTTGGATGAGCTAGAAGCCACCCTTTGTTCAAAAACAATGCTTTCTTGCCTCAGGGTCGCACATTGGCAATTTTCCTTTCTAATACAGTATCATCCTGTGCGTTTTAAAAGCGAGATGTCTGAGTTTGCGATATCTTGGTATCAGAGCGGCTGAGAAATCAACAGGAGAAGGATGGAGACATAATGGAAGCCAACCCTCTGCAGGGTCCAGTACAACTATATGACCTCTCTAGATGGTGAGACCTCCACAGAGGCACAGACACTCATTCTGCTATTTAGCAGAAATCAACATGTGGTCTTTGTATTATTCCCCCCCCCCCCCCTCCAACAGCCCTGATTGTTTAAAGAATCAAGGAGATGTATTTTACCTTCAGGAAGGAACGTTCACGTCCACAATTCAGGGTGAGGCCAATTTATTTGTTGGGTTGGGCTGGCTTCAGCCTGCAGGGTTTGAAACTGAACATAGAAGTATTATATTCCTCTAATGTTAAACCCTGAGAAAGCAATTTAGTCAACTATAAAATAGCTTTAATTCAGTTAAGTGTGTTGATATTTTCTGTTGATTTGGCCCAAAGTTTGTATTATTACCCTGTTTAAAGAGACAGTTATATGGTAGAAACTGCCAGTTGTGATTTAACATTATGCTGATGTGAACTGTAGCACCGTTCCCATGTATATTAAAGGGAAAGAAGCCCACAGGATAACAGACAACACATTGTCACAGACCCTCCAGAATTTTTGCCATATAAAGCTTTATCTTAGATAAAACCCACCTGGTTGTTTTTAAAAAGATCGGTCTTAATCTCAACTAACCAACATACACTTCCTGTTAAAATCTCATGGGAATTTGGTGAGTGTACTTTAATTCAACATACAGGTACATCTGAGGAAATTTGAATACTAAATAAATTGCAGTTATTGATTTATGACAAAGTTCTGCTCCACTTTTATCTGATGTTCTGTTTTGAATAGATAGTAAGGTGCTGTTTTCCATCATATTTATACCCCATTCGGATATCAACAACTTCACTGGAAAAGCGATCGAGAAATAAATAAAAGTGTCTTAAATTAAGTGTATTTACCCTTAATTTGAGTAGGTAAATGAGATAAGTTTGCCAATGGAATGAGTATTTTTACTCTTAAAATAAGATAATTAGATAATATGCACTTGATATATGACAATGCAATTGTGTTTTCTTATTTAAGGTGTAAATTGTCTTGTTCCATTGGCAAAATGTGTCTTTTACCTCCCCAATCCAAGAACAAATGCATTTATTTTAAGAAAAAATGACTTAACTAGATTTCAATTTTTTCCCAGTGTTTTGCTGGTTCACTTCCCAGCTGCTGGACCCCGCCATCCTACAGGGAATGTTTAACCGCATCATGGTCTGATAGGTTTAGCAGGAACATGAGTGATCGGATGCAGCTGAGGGACTTGGAACAAGAGACACCAACATTTTTTGGAGACAACTCATCAAATAAATGTTTTAGCTTGTTTTGTCGTTATTTTCTTTAGATCTTCTGTTTAAGAAATGTCCCCCTTTGTTTCAGCACTTTCTATATATAAAATTTGAATATTTCTCCAGGGAACTCATTAGAAATTCTGTCACAGAAATTACATTTTGTTATACAGTATTTTATTGCATTTTCAAGTGTTATTCTCAGTGACTCAGCCACACCCTGTTTAATTCCCTTTTAAAATCGAAATTTTTCTTTTGTGCCTCCCTTTCATAAAACTAAATTTGTTGGCACCTTTTTACTGATATTTTCTTTTATAGGCTATGGTTTAATGTTAGACCATTTGGTTCTTACCGTTTTAATATTCGTTAGTTCTCTTGATGCCAAACATCTAATTTTCCGAAAGTGAGTCAGCAAATGTTGCTGTATGAAAAGTTCTTATGCATTCCCTGAAATGACCGGTATTTTGTGCAGTTAGAACCAGCACTGCATTAAAATGTAAAATAAAAATCACTTTTTATTTTACCAGGAAACTTTGTTGAAATGGTAAACATTTGATAAGCAAACTAGCATGTCCAAATGTTGAACACAGAGTTGTACAGAAACCATGAGTCAGACTAGGCTTTGTGCCTTGGAAATCCGGTTATTGAAATGCAAGCTTTCCACATTTACCAACCCTGAAAATAAAGTTATTTTCATACTCCATTTCAAGTTCTTTATATATCATTTTCAAAGATTGCAGATAAACCAGTTTTCGGTTTCCAGTCGGCTTAAATTGTGATATAAAAAATCTGAAGAGTAAAATGAGAATGAAGAGCATTCACAGCCTGTTCATTTTCATATGGGGTTAATTTGACTGACAAATATGGAGGAAGGAAGTCTTCCAGACCAGTAGCACCCAATACGTTTTTCCATCGACTATTAGAAACTGCGCTCTTATTTCAAACATTTTCCACTAAACTAGTATGTAGATCTATATCGCTAGAAGGCATAAGAACCATCATGACAGTTTAGTTTTACATTCTACCAATTTAAAATTTTTCTCTCAGCCCTGCTCACCTCTGGTATATCTACTCCTGAGAAGCTGAAATTAAAGAAATTGATGGGTAAGATTTTTACTGGAGCTTGTGTAAAAGGAGGCATATATAATAAAAAAAAAAAAAAAAAAACTTACACAGGTCCAAGTCAAAAACCTTCATTTGAATTTTATTAACAGTGAGCAGTAATGAATAGAGGAGCAACTGTAAAGCCAAGTTCAATTGCACTGCAGCTCAGGGAACTACTATTTATTTGTCCTTGAAAATATTTTAATCTCAGAAGCTGTCAAAAAAACAGAACTAGCAGCTTTGAAGTTATGCAAACAGTCAACATGAGCCAGATTTGACTGGAGGAGTTACAACATGCATAAAAACTCTTGAATAATGTTGAAATAAATGACAGGCCAAATGAGGACAAAGTACAGAGCCCATAAAAGGACAAGGAGGGGGAAAAAAAAGAACTATTGCGAGATCCTGCAATACTTTTGCAGGATCTCGCAAAAGTTTATTTTTTCCCCTCCATGTCCCTTTAGGGGCTCAGTAACTAGTGTTGCGCTGATGCCATTTTTTTGTGAATCCAGTAGTGTCAGTTTTACTGGTTTAAAATATTTCCCAAACAACATTTAAACATTTTAACAGGTCTACAGGTAGGCCCAAGAAAATCCATAAACTCAAGTAACTATGTGAATCACTTTGAAGTATTTAAACTTGAACAGAGCAACAACAACAAAAAATTTCCCCCGGTTTTAACTGTTGAGTTGGAGGAAAACGAACACGATGGCTGCTCAGGCCAGTTCTTCTTCACCCTCTTCTTCAAACTCTCCCTCCTCCTCAGCGGTGGCCTCCTGGTACTGCTGATACTCGGACACCAGGTCGTTCATGTTGCTCTCGGCCTCAGTGAACTCCATCTCGTCCATGCCCTCACCGGTGTACCTGTAACAAGACAACTTCAGTATCCACGCCAGGCCTTAACACAGCGGTGCTTCTGTGTTCTACTCACCAGTGAAGAAAAGCCTTGCGGCGGAACATGGCAGTAAACTGCTCTGAGATGCGCTTGAACAGCTCCTGAATGGCTGTGCTGTTCCCAATGAAAGTGGCAGCCATCTTGAGGCCGCGTGGCGGGATGTCACAGACTGCCGTCTTAACGTTGTTGGGGATCCACTCTACAAAGTAGCTGCTGTTCTTGTTTTGCACGTTCAGCATCTGCTCATCCACTTCCTTCATGGACATGCGGCCTCGGAAGATGGCAGCGACTGTGAGGTAACGGCCGTGCCGTGGATCACAGGCTGCCATCATGTTTTTGGCATCGAACATCTGCAAGGTGAGCTCGGGAACCGTCACAGCCCTAGAAAAGAGATTTAATTATAGCAGTTTATGGGACCGACTAGCACACTATGGATGTGGGGGCAGCCTCCTCACCTGTACTGCTGGCTGCCACGGCTCGTCAGGGGGGCAAAGCCTGGCATGAAGAAGTGTAACCTGGGGAACGGCACCATGTTGACAGCGAGTTTCCTCAGATCGGCGTTAAGCTGGCCAGGGAAGCGCAGGCAGGTGGTTACGCCGCTCATGGTGGCTGAAACCAGGTGGTTCAGATCACCGTAGGTGGGTGTGGTGAGCTTCAATGTACGGAAGCAGATGTCATACAGGGCCTCGTTGTCAATGCAGTAGGTCTCATCAGTGTTCTCAACCAGCTGGTGGACAGACAGGGTGGCATTATAGGGCTCCACCACAGTGTCTGAAACCTGCCACAGAAAGAGGAATAAAAGACGACACAAAGAGGACAATGGAAGCGAGGTTAAGATTTGAAGGAAGCAGCTGTAGGGCAAAGCTTCATATCAGGAAATATTTGAATGCAGGATATAAACCTTAGGCGATGGCACAACGCTGAAAGTGTTCATGATGCGGTCTGGGTACTCCTCTCTGATCTTGCTGATTAGAAGCGTTCCCATGCCAGATCCAGTGCCTCCTCCGAGGGAGTGAGTCAGCTGGAAGCCCTGCAGGCAGTCGCAGCTCTCCGACTCTTTCCTCACCACATCCATGACTGAGTCCACCAGCTCAGCTCCTTCAGTGTAGTGGCCTTTAGCCCAGTTATTACCAGCACCACTCTGGCCTGTTACAAATCAATACATCATGCAAAAGAAAAAAGAAAAGAAAAAGTCAGCTTTAGTCAGACAGACTTCATTGAGAGATGTCTTTGGGGGCTGCTATAACCAGTAGTCATAGGTGAAACCAATTGAAAATATTTATTGACACGTCTTAAGAATGCCGCTCCCACCTGACCCCACATCTCCGACAGAAAAAAAACAAAAAAAAAACAAAAACAAATCGCTCTCCTTTAAACAGCTGGATGCTATGATAACCATAGCACACTCCTAGGAATCCCTAAGCGTGTTGATTCATGTCATGCTAATATACAAGTTTTATCAAGCATGTTCCATCAGCGTTAATCTGACTGTTTAACACTTAAAGAAATGCATCCCTTTGAAAAAAAAATAGCATAAATGAGATGATATCACATTATTTCCTATTCAGTCATTTTTTATATTAACATTTAAACATCCAGGTGATTTTGTGGTTGTTTATTAGAAAAGCACTGCAGACATATTAATATTTTTGTTTCATGTGGAAGCATTAATTGTACTTCCTTAGAGTGATATACTCACCAAAAACAAAATTATCAGGTCTAAACACCTGTCCATAGGGACCAGACCGGACAGAGTCCATCGTGCCTGGCTCAAGGTCCACCAGCACAGCGCGGGGGACATACTTTCCACCTAGAACAAGGGAAGAAAAACTAACATTTAAAAGAACAGTATGCAGAATATTACAAGTGCCAACAAATTGTTAATGAGAGAAAAATCTAATATATTTCTACATGTTGCAAATGTGAATTCATTTGACATGTACACCTCTAAACTGCCCTTATCAGTAGCATTCGTTTGATGTAATTAAAAGCCGATGAGCTCTTTTTTTTTTTTTTTTGGGAGAAAATGCTAGCAACCGTTAGCTTCGGATTTTGTGTGCCTTGGAAACAGCTTCTTAGTAACCACTGGATCCAAAGCAGATGATATCAGGGCTGTTTGATGGCCGCTGGCTGTATGGCTTATTTTTTTCCATTGATATATCGAACTTCATCCATCAATTAAAGCACAAAGGACAAACCTGCCGCCTCGTTGTAATACACATTAATTCGTTCTAACTGCAAGTCACTGTCTCCATGGTATGCTCCGGTTGGGTCAATGCCGTGTTCGTCGCTTATCACCTCCCAAAACTAAAACAGAAGAAAGAAAAAAAATGCACTGTTAAAGGAATAGGTTAAGCAGCTGGAATTACCAAACATAAACCTAAATAACGGAAACCAACATCTATAGATAGCTTTTAGCCAAAGGCTACGTTAGCGTTTAACCGCTGAGCTAGCTAACACGAATTTAGCAGCCTTCGCGCGCTGAATGTACATTTTTAAGACGATTTCCCAATGAATTTAGCGACTGGAAAAACATGAGAATGTTCTAACCTTTGCTCCAATCTGATTGCCGCATTGGCCAGCTTGAAGATGGACAATTTCCCTCATTTTTATGGAAATAAATGCGTTCTGGTAGCTCACGATGAAAGTTTTGCCTACTGCGTAGTGCTCCCGTTGAGGATTAAGAAACGTTGCTCAACGGTTTATATATCTTAAACCCGATTGGCTAAACGGTTGTCACTCAAATCGTAAACGGCAACTGATTGGTCAGCGCTTGCTTCAAATATTGAAGAGAGCGGCGGGTATACCAGTTAAAACCAGTTACCTCACTGATTTTCATTAATTTATTTTTTTTATTTAAATGTAAAATGTAAGCGCGATCTCTGTAGGTTTTATTCCGGTGCAGCGTGCAAAAAAATTATCAAAGTAACGATAATTAAAAAGAATGTAAAAAAAAAAAAAAAAAAAAAAAAAATACGATTTGCTAACTGTGTAGATTGAGATTTTATGAAGTACGTGGAACTCATTTCAGGTGAAAAATTTAGGGGAGTCCGTTCATCTCCGCACTGACTGCATGCTCCGTTCTCAGGAGCCACTTATCAATCCTTTCATAGACATACACATAAAAGTAGACCCCGCATTGACTTTCGCATTCAATTTTTGACGTAATTTAATATAAAATTACCTTTTCCTATAAAACTAAAAAAGAACTGATAAATGCAGCTGTTTTTTTATTTGTTTTGAAAAAACATTTACCAGATGAAAACTGCAGCTATCACCTTACTGTTTTTAAATTATCAGAAAAACAGAAATTGTAAACATATACATATATATATATATATATATATATATATATATATATATATAAAATAGAAAATACGTTTATTGTCCGACAGTGAGTAAATTGTGGTGTTACTGCAGCAAAATATTACAGCAAAGGTGATCACACAGATATGGACCTTAAAAAGTGTATAAACATAACAGAATAATTGACAGTTGCAAAAACCTAACAAAAATAATAATAAATAAAATACTGTACTGAACAGTGTTTTACATATAATGACAAAAATGCACATAAATGTGCATTTGAAAAACATAATCTGTGGACATTTTTACAGTATATTTATCTATATATATTTATAGATACATATAGATATATATATAGATATATCTATATATAGAGAGAGAGACATATATCTCTATATATAGAAATATATATAGAGATATATTTACATAGAGTGAGAGAAATGTGTATATATATTTGTGTATACCTGTATAAATGTGTTTATGTATATAGTAAAAAAAAAATAATTGTCTTCGCTTTGCAACATACTTAAATCCTATCAGAGTATTCTATTGCTCTTAGCCCCAATAAGAATATTTAAATATACTGAACCATTTGTTTGTTTTCTGCAAAAAAATGAAAATAAATAACCGTGAAAATTAGTTCAATATTCAGCGATTTAAAGTAGATCAAAATTGATCCTGTTCCTGCTGAACACATTACAGTGTGCGGACCTGTTGACCGCCTCAAGATGGCGCCACCAAATCACGTAAGGGCTCATCGGCGAAAGCGGTCGATGTTCATTCTTCACACATCTGCAACACGCCGACAATTGGATTCAATGTCCTTTAGTCAGAATCCGAATTAAAATTAGCGTCCATGTTTTGTGAAAGCTTGTTTCTAAGTTGCTAAATAGGTATGAAATCCTGGCAAGATTTCCACCGGTGGTTGAGTAATAAAGGTATTGGAATCGGACAATTTAATAAAGATATTTTTTTTTTCCGGAGAAAAAAATTTCCTTTTGATAAATATTAGCCTATGATGGGTTTTCACCTATCATAAAATAAATAAAAATAAACAAAAAAAATTATCCAGAGAAAATAGTGTGGAATGTTTTTGTCTTTCATCATAATATATATATATATATATATATATATATATATATATATATATATAT